TTCCTGGGAGGTAACCATGTCGTGCATTGGAGGAGACGTAGCTAGTCAGCATCTTTTTCCCCACATTCCGTTGATGCCATTTCAGCCACTGCTGGCAATGATATGAGATTCCCCATCAGCCACTGCTGGCAATGATATGAGATTTCCCACTGCTTGCTGTATGGTTTGAGATAGCATAGGATGCTGCAAGTTCTTTGGCAGGGCTAGCACTCTGTTCTTGACTGCCGTCCTTTGTTCTTTCAGTCGAAGGAATTTCTGTTTGTTTGAAAAATTCTCATGGTTTATCTTTGAGTGAAGGTTGCCTGATCTGCAAGTGGTATTTTGACTGCTGCGTAGAGTTTCCTTGAGCTGTTACCCAGAGGAAAGAATGGGTCTGGGTTTCCCTGCCAGACACCGAGGGGGCGCACCATGGGGCAGAGAATGGGAAGATTGCCTCAGACTGCTCACGAGGGAGACCTCGATAGCCAGGAAGGGGGAAATATTTATTGTAACCAGGCCAGAGGGCCAAATCCTGAAGAAGGAGCACCCCGAGTGGCAGAGAAAGAGCAGCAGCAGGGCATGCAGTGAGCAGCGCAAGGGGCCCTGGGGCTGCAAGGAGCTAAGCAGCCAGGAAGAGGCACCCTAGTCGTGAGTGAGCCCTGTGACACACCCTATATGCCTTTATGTGTGATCTGTGCAGCCCTAGGCTTATCAGTGCCTGGCACCCTGCCCCCTTCCTTTGCTGCAGGAGTTGGGTGTGTAGTGTGTGTGTGTGTGTGTGTGTGTGTGTGTGTGTGTGTCCGAAATCTGGGACTTGGACACAAATCCTTTTGTAGATCTGAGTGTTATTTCTTACCAGGATTATACTTAAGGCGTCTGAACTATATACCCTGCCCCGCCACATATATGCTATAGTTTCATAATCTCCCACATATGTACACATGCGGGGTTGCCAGATACTTTCACAAAAAATCCCGAGCATGGCAGGAAAAAAATTGGTTGAGCAAAACAAAAACAAAAAAGTGGGGGGTGGGGAGAACACCAAGGTTGTTGAGCAAAAGAATGGCCCCGCCAGCCTACCATCTGAGAAAAACAGAAAATACCGGATATTTTACATGTCCGATATTTTCTATTTTTTTTTTAACAGGCAGGGGCCACATATACCAGACTGTCCGGGTGAAAACCAGACACCTGGCAACCCTACACTTGCCATTGTGCAAAGCAGGCACACTTCAAGATATTCAGCAGGCCCTTAATCAATAGCTCGATGAAGAACAAAGCATCTGTAAATTGCCATATGAAACATTGCCACAATGCAACTCACAATTGCACGTCTGCTGATACCCATGGGACTTGGGACTTTAATTGCAAACCTCAGTGCTTCAGTGGTACTTTAGTTAGCATTTAGCTAACATACTCTGTCCTACTTTCCCAATTATCTTACCATTTCTGTGAGAGAAAGCTGAACCCTTCATTAAACTGAAGGCGTATTTAAAAGAGACAATTGCAGTACAGGATGGATGAAGCCCAATTTGAAGCAACCCACTAATGAATGGATTAGGTGTTACGTTATGTTAAGGATTGTGTGGCTGTACTTCCAGCTGAGTTGTACTCCCTCCACAATTTTAAATGCAAAATAGATCCTCTTGAAAGAGCATGTAAGGAAATGAGACCAATTGCATGGATTGTGTTTGAATTAAGAAGCTTTTGGGCACTATCCTTTATGTTTTTCATACCACAATATTCTACATAAAGTGAGGGGGGGGGGGCTTTGGATGACCAAGAAATGCAGGATTAGGCCATTCCTCTCTGAGAGAAAATGACTTGTCCATCCTGTTGGTCCAGAAATGCAGAATGGAAAGTCAGCTAAAGAGCACTTGAATAACTGGACAGGTTGGCAACAGGCCATTCAGCAGCACTTGTAACTATAAGGTAATGGGTAGAGAGAACCAATTTGTAATGCTTGAAATAAAACATACCACAGAGTGCTTACAAACTAGACTTACTAATTCTTCTAGTTTGAATCAGTCAACTGGCAATTTCATTTTCAACGTTCTTTCTAACTGGACCAGTATTTCAGTACACGATGGAAGTTGTTTCGGCTTGCTGCTTGCAGCACCAATTTCAATCAGCTGGAGTGGGTTGAAGTAGAACAATCCAGGGCAAATGCAATAAGGTAGATTTAGGCATCACCATGTAACAGACTTGTCCTAGAAAGTGGATGCCAATCTAGTGTGCAATCTCTGCTCAAGCCCAGGCTCTTTAGGCTCATGGATCACACTCGGACATAAGTGCCTCTGTAGTTGTGATGCTCTAGCAAGTTAAGGACCTATGTTTGACATAAGGCTAGGTGCGCACCATCCTGAGCACCGTTTTACCACATTATTACATAGAAAACAGCAATGGGCAGGCTTCTAGGCCTTGAGTTGGGCAGTGTCCTAGAAGGAAAACCGGGAGGTGGAGTATAACAGGGTCTACCCACTTGTGAGCATTCCTCTGTGGCCAAAGGGTGTCTCGCAAGGTCTTAGCCTGGTTGTTTTTAAGCTTGTGGTCCATCTTCGGCCACAAGACCTGGGCCTTGCCAAGCATTCCTCTGTGGCCAAAGGGTGTCTTGCAAGGTCTTAGCCTGGTTGTCTTTAAGCTTGTGGCCACAAGACCTGGGCCTTGCCCTGGTCTAGGTTCAGCTGGCACTGGGAGCTGTCCATGGTGCTGGTCTCCCAGTCAGGATATAGACTTGGCTGGGTCGATCTCCTGAAAGGAACTGCCAGGCCCTAGCCCCGCAGCTTCTTTTACACCCATCTTCTGGGTCCTGATTAGCTGCTGGAGAAACAGCCACTCTATCATGCCTGGAGGACCTCTTCTCTGCTCCTCTCGCTGGGATGGGGTGCGGCAAGGCCACAGGCCTCCTGTAGGGGGTGTCGGGGCCTAGGCCAGCCCATCAAAGGGAGGGTTGGAAATACCCAGACATTTTGATTCAGAGGACTGCTTTCTGTGATGCCCCAGGAGTGCTGGCTGTGCATTCCTCAATGCAGGCCTGTTTGTTCCCACTCATACCCTCCTGTGTATGGCTAGCGTAGAGCACTCCCATCCTGCAGTGGGAAGGAGGGCTCAGAATGTTTACAGCAAACGGAATGGAAGGAATCATTAAAAAAGGGATAGAAAATAAGGCAGACAATATCTGATTGCCTCTATAGAAATCTATGGTATGCCCACATCTTGAATACTGAGTACGGACATGGTTACCTCATCTAAAAAAAAAAGACACTTTGGCATTTGAAAAGTTTCAGAAAAGAGGAACAAAAATGATTATGGGGTTGGGTCAGCTGATGTGTGAAGAGAGATTAAGAAGACTGGGACTTTTCAGTTTAGAAAAGAGGAGACTAAGGGTGGGGGTGTGATAGAGGTCTATAAAATCATGACAGGTATGGAGAAAGAGAATAAGGAAAAGTTATTTACTCGTTCTCATAAAGCAAGAATTAGGAATAAGGAAAAGTTATTTACTCGTTCTCCTAAAGCAAGAATTAGGGGGTCACCAAATGAAATTAATAAGTAGAGGTTTTAAAACAAACCAAAGGAAGAATTTCTTCATGCAGCACACAGTCAACCTGTGGAACTCCTTGCCAGAGGATGTTGTGAAGACCAGGACTTTAACAGGGTTCAAAAAAGAACTAGATAAATTCATTGAGGATAGGTCCATCAATACGTATTAGCCAGGATGAGTAGGAATGGTGTCCTTAGCCTCTGGTTGTCAGAGGCTAGGAATGGGTGACAGGAGAGGGATCACTTGATTCCCTGCTCTGTTCACTTCCTCTGGGGCATCTGGCATTGGCCATTGTGGGAAGTCAGGATATGGACTAGAAATGGACCTTTGGTCTGACCCAGTCTGGCTGTTCTTATGTATCGGTGGCCCAGGGCCCAGAGGTTCTTTTTCTAAATCTCATGTCTGAAGATTCCATTGTTCTTCCTTTGTTTTCCCAAGGCTTTGTAGCACGTTAAGTCCCTTTGTGGATCCAGACCTAGGATTGCATTTATTTTGTATGCTGAGGTTTAGGAAGACTGTGCATGTTTTGATGGTTGTCCTGGGTGGCAACATTCCATTACAAATCTAATTTCATTCCTCCTGCTTAAATCTGCCATATTCTTCTGAACAGAATATTTTAAAATTTTGTGCGGGTTAATTACATAGGATGAGATTGGAATCACTGCGAGTATTCACAGAGGAAGCAACTAACCTGAGCAAGGGGATCATAATCTATCCCACAGCATTTCTAAAGTATTTGGAATTTGAATATTGCTTGCAGTATCTGCCAGACTGCTAGATAGGAGCGAGCCATACAAATTAAATCGGCAGGGTTGGACAATGCACCTTGCTTTTCAGAACCTCAGCCTTTTGATTTTGTTCATTCTTTCTGCAACACTTTCAGTTGTGAACCCTTTCCATTCTCTGTCTTTTCCACTGTGTCTGCCCCTACCTGGACAATTGCCCTGTTGTGGGCAGAGCCCTCTAATATACAAGGCGGAGACAGAGAGCACACAAGACATGCAGATGCACTTCACTGTCCAAGGTGTTTGATTTATATCAGCTGGCCTCACATCACCACACCATGTTTTCCATAACTACGTTTCATCCACACCCAATTCTCTCCTTTGCATATGCATCCTTTGTTTGCGGCAGAGGTTGTCCAGCCATGCAAATACCTGTGAGCATGTACTTCCATGGCAACCCACTTTGTTGCCTTTGTGGTGATTACAGTGTTTGTTAACTAAACATATTTGCAATTCCCCGGGCTGCTGAAATTGGAGTTTGGAGCTTTGAGTTCCAATTCTGTGTGCTCTATTGAAGATGCACTATGTTGTTTAAGCACTTTGTGTGCTTGGCATTGTGCATGGTGTATATCAGGACAGATACACTAGGGAGTTCAGTTTTAACTTTTAGCCTTACTGGGAAATCTGTAGACGAGAGCTTACGGGGGTTCCTGTTCTTTGACTATTTCATAACTCTTGAATGATAATTGGCTCACCTCAGACTCTTTGTGGGAGCAGCCTTTGGAGGGCATGAATTGATTTCCATGATGTATTCTTAATCATCTTTGATGCCAGCATTTTAATTCTTCTGGTTTTCTGTTCTGAAGACATAAAAAATGTGTTTATTTCAGAAGTGAGAGATCAAAAACAGTGACTCACAGAAAGTAGGAGAAGCATTACAGCATAATAATGTCAGAAATGTAGTGTCACTTTCTCTCTCACACCATCTCATACCACACACACACGCACACACATTTTCTCTTACACACACACATTCATGCATGCACACATTCTCTCTTGCGTATGCGTGCACGCACTCACACACATGTGCATGCACACATACTCTTCTGACGCACTTATGCATGCATGCACACTCTCTCAAACGTGTGCATGCACGCACCCTCTCTTGTGCACATACACACACAGGTTCCTACATTCACTCTCACACACGAACGCACATGAGCACACAGACTCTTTGACGTGCATGTATGCACTTTCTCTATGACTCATGCACACGCACTCTTGTACTCACACATTTTCTCCCATACTCACACACATGCTCTCTCTCACACATGCGCACACATGCTCTCTCACACATGCACACATTTACAAACTCTCTCACACATCCACAAGCACACACACACACATACTCTCTCAGGATATGTCTACACTACAAAGTTAATTCGAACTAACGGATGTTAGTTCGAATTAACTTTGATAGGCGCTACACAAGTGCTCCGCTAGTTCGAACTTAATTCGAACTAGCAGAGCACTTAGTTCAAACTAGGTAAACCTCATTCTACGAGGACTAAGCCTAGTTCGAACTTACTAGTTCGAATTAAGGGTTGTGTAGCCCCTTAAGTCGAACTAGTGGGAGGCTAGCCCTCCCCAGCTTTCCCTGGTGGCCACTCTGGCCAACACCAGGGAAACTC